GACTGGTTTCCATAATTGAAAACTAAAAATGGGAAAAGCCCATTATAAGGTGCTTCCTATTAAAGGGCATATGATTTCCTGGCCTTCATGAAAATTGTCTTTTGTTCCCTTTATTTCAAATTTCAGTTCACTGAGTACCACCTTATGTTTATTATGTACTAGAGTCATAGATAAATTTTAAGTGCAAAAATATTCTCAGAAAAAAAATTCATTTATAAATTATACTTTTCCTTAATTCATCAGTTTAAATATTTCATTTTTAGAAACACACAACTCAGTCAATATGGACTAGTGTTTATGTCTTATTTTAATACTTTTTACCTAAAATGTATGTAACATCACATTCAGTAATTTCATTGGCATATTTAAAGATCAGAACTCAGATCCTCATAGCTAAATACAACAGGCTTTAATAGCTTCTTAATAATAACATTTATATTCTCTTTTGGTTTCATTATTAGGTTGATATGGGGAAAATGTGAAGCTGTAACACCTCATTTTGCAGTATGAAATGTGCATATGAACATAATAACAAAAAACATACACTATCTTAATGGCTTTCAAAAACATAAGAACTGGCTTTCATTTCAAAGTGTTTTCCACTAATTTTTACAGGACGATGGCCAATACATTTTATCAGCTGGACGAAAGTTCACACACACACACATACACAAAGAATAAATGTGATACATCCTGGGCACAAACCAATCTAGAATCACTGGAGCAACCTGGAATAAATGATGCATCTCAAACTCTAAAGTTCCTCCCATAGTATTAACTATCTTAAGGCAGGATAAGAAACCAAAATCCATCCCAAAAAGCAACTTTAAGGAAACAGGGGTTCCAGTGACCAACACATTTAAAGAAGCCATTTACAAAACACATAGCTGATTCACTGATGATACTATGCCATGGCATTCAGCTCTGTCTGCACATATATCCTGGGGTTAAGAGAAGAAAAAGGGGTACAGAAAAAACAACTTATGTGTTAGCTACTCCTAGTTTCCTTCCCAATATTTTGATATTAATAGGTACAAAAAGAGCAAGCTCCCTGAATACCCTCTTTTTGCTACTGATGTGGCTCTCTTTTAGGTTGAAAAAGCAACCCCTTTTAAGAAAGTCAAAGTCATTTATTTAAAGACCAACTTACATTTATTTTAGGAAATGGTAGAACTAGGCTTTCTATTTAAATATCCTAACTGAAACAAAGTAACTCATTATTCTAATGTTCTACTAGGAACAATTAAGTAACTATTATCAATTTATAATCTGTGTACAAAGTTAGTGTCAAATGGTCAAAATAAATTTTGATTTAAAAATGAACATTTTATGCAAATTAAATTTAATATTCCCAGATTATACTAACATAGATAGTCCAGTAACTCTACTTTTAACAATCAGTGATCTAAGTATTGTTTTAATATTTCCAACGATTTTATGAGAACACATTCAATTTTCACTATTAGAAATTCTCACAAAGAAAACTAAATATGGACCCAGAATCTTCCATTTCCTAATTCTATTTTTTCTTACATAGAACAATTTTATTCCTTCTTAAATATAGCAGAGACTCAAATATTTAAAGAAAATTCCCTTTCCCGAAATTCTTCTTTCACCCAAATTTCTTCCCATTAATTTCTTCAACTACATCTCACTCTGCATACTATTCATGTCTTTCATAACTATGCAGCCTCCCTACCAACACTACAGTTCATACTGTTCTTTAAAACATGGCACAGTTTAACATCAGTCTGAAGAGCAGTGTGCATGGGTTCATTCCATTCCCTACTAACAGTTTAAAACTCCGTTAGATTTTCCAACAACTACATAACAAGATTTCCCATATGCCAGTCTAGCATTGATACACTATTCCATGAGGTTTCCAGTGACCTGAAAAAAATAACGTAATGTTTTCATCAGTGTAAAGTTATTCAAGCTGCAGTTCTCTCCTTTATGCTGAATGTATGTCCTTCCTTAATATCAGGGATCATTTTTAAAACAAAATAATGACAGGGGCCAGCGTTATGGCACAGCAGGTTAAGTCACCACCTGCAATGCTGGCATCCCATATCGGAGTGCCAACTTCTGACTGCTGGGCTTCTAATCCAGCTCCCTGCTAATGCAACTGGAAAAGCAGCAGAAGACAATCAAATGCTTGGGCCCCTCCAACTCACTTAAGAGTCAAAGATAGAGTTCCTGACTTCAGCCTGGCCCAGCCCCACCCCGGCGATTGCAGTCATCTGAGGAGTGAATCAGTAGGTGCAAGTTTTCTTTTCTCTCTATTCCTTACTCATTCTATGTCACCCTGCCTTCTAAATAAATAAATAAATAAATATTTCTTTAAAATGACTATTCTTTTTCTATAGGTCTTTACATGGCAAAATAAAGTCTTCACAATCTTTTTAAAAAATATTAGCCTAGTGTCCTAAAAGAGTCAAGTAAAAAGGTTCTTCTCAACAATAACACAATTACACTGCCAAGAACTTAGAATAACTGAAGAAATTTGTAAGAATCATTTACAACCTCCACTAATCATTTTTGATTATTTATTGCCACAAAATAAGCCTTCTCATGGCCTCCAGGATATTAAAGAGCTTCAAGATACCTTAACACTAATTTCCAAGAGTTCATAGTTGCACTGCCCACCTACCCTTGATATCCTAGACACTGAAACTCAGACAGTCAGACTACATCAAATTAAGAGAGGGTTGAAATAGATGAAATGTAAAGCACTCACTGAAGGTCAGATTATTAGCGCACTTTGAACTATAAATGAACTACACCATCTAGGAGAAGAGACAGCAAATTACAGTCCACAGGCTAACTCCAGCTCTTCATGTTTTTGTAAATAAAAACCTTACTAGGACATACTCACATTTATTTGATTACATATTGTGTATGGCTGCTTTTGTGCCACAATGGCAAAGGAGAAGAGTTGGAACAGAAACCATATGGCCTGCAAAGCTCAAAATACTATTTGGTCATTCATAGAAAACATCTGTCAACCTCTAACTTAGGACAATGAATGATTTGCTGCCACAGCAAAATCTGAGCTCCATACCCATAGCCATTAACTAGCTCAGGACAGCAGCCATCTACAACAGAACATCTACATATAAACCCAACACAGAGCTCTCTCTTACTTACCTGCTCAAGGATCTAATCTGTAACATATAGTTCTCAAGGACTCACTACTGGAATAGTGAAGAGGTCATGAACACGCTGCTTTGTGCACTCCAGGGTTAAAAAAACTGCTGCAAATCACTCTGAAGTACGTAATAAAGAAACAACTGTATAGAACTACAAAATAATTTCCTTTACATTTTAGATTCCAAATACAAAACATTTTTAAAGGCACTTAAAGTAGGAAAGCTTAAGTATAACAATTTACATAATATTAAATGCATTAAGTGATACAAATTAACTTCTGTGTTAAGTAACAAGATTTTCATTTTCATGTATGTAAACTGAAATCAAAATACCTCTAACAGAAATCAAACATGTAGGTATTTAATACAAGTGACATCAGAATCTCTTTAAAAATAGTCACAACATCAGAGTGTTTTAAACTAGAAAATACTTAACATTTTACAAATGAGAAAGCTTCAATAGGACACGAAGTGCTTAAGTACATTGAACTAATTAGTGGCAGGAAAAGAACTAGAACCTAACACTCAACTACCAGCTTGGAATTCTTTCTACTTCATAACCACAAAAGATTTTAGGTTCATATTCTAGCGAGTGCAGAGAAATTTGTTCAACTATTCTAGTTTTAAAAGAGGTATGAAGATACTCCTAGGAACACAGCTCACCTAACCTAAGCAACCCTCTTGTATTTTTAATCAATCAACTATAACATTACAGGAGGACAAAAAAAGGATTAATTGTAAAGCAACTCTTATCAGACATACCAAAGAAACAATCAATTATTTGTTTAGCAAACTGTCAAAGATTAGAAAAAAATAACGATATCGGTGAAGGGACAATATGATAGGTATTCATACATAACTAATTTGGTAGAATCTTTCTGAATGGTAATTTGGCAATATTTTAAAAAGCCTAAAAAGTTCTCTCCATTTAAACCGCTTATTATTATTTCCACAAAAAAGACTAAATAACAATCTAATGCAGAGTTCACATTTTACATACAAGGATTAAGATCCTGCTATTATTTGTAATTGTGAAAGATTAGAAACAACCTAACATCCAAAGAGATAACTGGTTAAATTACGGTATTTTTATACAACAGAATGTTAGGCAGCCATTTTTAAAAATCATATTTTCAAAGACATGTATAGATAAGTATTTATGCTATGATATTAGGTTGTATTTTAAAAAAAGAAGGTACACAACTATATGGTCTGCATAAGGTAAATTCTGTTATTATACACACACACAAACACATATACACACACTCACACATACAATAGCATAGACAAAGACTGAAAGGAAATACAGAATCATTAACAATGTTATCGCTGGGTAGTGAGAGTGCAGAAATTTTTTTTCACTATACTTCTCAGCATTTTCCAAATTTCCTATAGTAATCAAATATTAGTTTTATACTCAGAAATATTATTTTAAAAATTCACTCTGTAGTCAATTTGGAATTTTATAGTCTCTATTAAATAAGGAATAAATATTTATAGTACTCAAAAGTATAAATAATGGGAAATAAATCACTGATTTATTATTCCCAAAATAATTTTTATTCCCTAAATAATGGGAAATAAATCACTAATGTATAAAAGTACAGTTTCCACCTATAGATAGGTGGATGATTTCAAAAAGGAGTATCATTGTATCCCATTCTTGAGTATAGAAAGTTGTTAACTTAATAAATAAGAAATGCAAACCTTTAAATAAAACTGGTGCAAGGCATCTAAAAATTATGCCACTGTGGCATATCACTGAAGATATAAATGCTCTCCAATACAATGTAGACACCCAGTGTTATATTAAAACAGGTATAATGTAGTACACACATGCTGGCCACATAATTAAGTGATTAAGTTACTTTTATTTTTTTAAAAAGCCAAAGTGACTAGAATTGGTCTACACTAAAGAAAGTATACAACACCATACCATTATTTTAGTTGGAAGAGCCGCACCAAAATTCATGACAAAAAAAATAAAAATGTAGAACTATAAGAAAATCCAGTGTTTTTTTTCTTATTGTTACTAGAAATTCAAGTAAATGAGTCAAATTGCATAAAGCACTGAAAAAGCACAGCAGTGTACGGTCTGCAATGATCTGAAAAGCACTAAGAACACTCCAACGCCTCCTCATTTGCAGACTATCAAACACGGTCTTGGAAGGACAATATCTGCTCTTTCACAGTCTTGAATTTATATTCTATTACAATATGGTAATGACACGAAGGGATGTCTTACATAAAAAGGCAAACTGAAAGTAATTTTAAAGTTAACTATAAAATTAAACAATTCTAATTTCTGTGATTAAAAAAATCACATAAATATGTCAAATATAAAGTACATCCAAATATATTTTTACATAAGAGCTGAGATTTACCATTTTTAACAAATTCTGAGATGGAATTACTAAAAACAGTATTTCATGTATACCACAGAGCAATAAGTTTAAATCAGACTATTTTGAGTTGTGTAGCCCTTTATTAGCAACTAAAATAGAAGGTATCTGTTGTACAACACGGGTAGTAATTGACTATAATTGGAGATTTATTATATTCTAATACAGATCATTTATAAATGCAATTTCTTTATTAAAAAGCTTCCACCCTTTTTTTTGTTTGTGTACAATTTGCAAAACTATTCTGAAAGCGGAATATATGTGCACAAGTCTGCAGAGAGTGCAAATTTAGGATATGGTAAAGGCTTCACAAGTTACTTTCCAAACTCTGCCACAGCTGGGCCTTTCCATTCTCATCTTTTTTCATCAAAATATTTTGATGCCAGCCTTCCTTCAACCGCCCTAAACTATAAAGCATTTTTTTTTAATGAGTTGAAATTAAGTAAGGACTACACCTACTAGAAAAGAAGAGAAGAAAGTTCTATTAGTCTGAGGTTTCAGAATCCCCCCAAACCAGGACCAGTATCTTGGTAAAGGCTAGGCTGGGACCGCGGACAGATTATGAGTGTGTGCAGGTAGCATCCCTGAGGGTTCAGAGCGTCAGTGGACCGTGAGGGCTCCAGCTGCATAACTCACTGAACTGTCTTGCCAGTTTCTGCACTGGCTTGACTGGGCATAATTCAAAAAGGAAAAGCTCATATTCATTCCATTCTTCTGGAGCTCTGTGATAGCCTAGAAAAAGAAAAACTGGGTTACGGCAGACATATTAAAAAGTGAACACTCTCAATACATTGGATGTTTGACTGTACCCACTTCCCTGTTGAAGCCTAGATCTCTGACTCTTCTTCAATTTTCTCTTGTTGACTCATATTAAATAGCAAAAAAGATAAAAATCCTTATACCATCCTCTCAAGAAACGTCTCCAGACATAGCTTCTTGAGAATTAAATATCAACTCATGCATATGAGAGGTCTTCAAAGAGTTCATGAAAAATGCTCATTATGAAAACACTATGCCTGGCTTTCAAAAGCTTTTTTGGCACTGAAATACATTTACCTTTTACTTCCATTTTTCCATAAGCTTTATGAAGTACCCTTACAAATATATTTTTTCTGTTCTCTAAATGAAATCTTGGCCAACTTCTGTCTTAATATGTTGGAATCTTTCTTGGTCTAGCTTGGACTAAACTGAAATATGTGTTAAGAATTATGTTCTAGGTATGCTACGATTTCTACTGTAATTGTAGATTGATTCTTCGTTTATTTTATAAAAAAATTATTTGACTCAATTTAGACTTTAAGAAATTAATGCAGCTCATTTTATTTAAATTTGAGAAATCAGTTTAAGCATTTGAAAGGCTTTTCTTTCAGTCAAACACTGGTTAAGAGAAAAACCCCTCCTAAAAATCACAACATATGGGCTTTCAAATCACATTAAAATAGCACTGAACATCAAGATTACTAAAGACTATTCTGAATTACTACATTATTCCCTCCATTATTTCTCTGCTTTTGCAAGCAAATGAGCTCACGGTTACTTCGTCCTCCCATTCATGAGTATATACACTTTTGTTCTTCTTGAGTTACACATATCCTTTCAGAAAATGTATAGTATATCTTATGGGAAAAATTTGATGTATATTTTTCTAAAATCAGTATAACCAAAGCTTCTGTCTCATAATTCCTTAAATAACATAAGGATTATATTTGTTTTAAAGAGAGAAATATACATGTCATCTGTCTTGCTGTATTAAATTATGAATATCCAAAGTACAAGATATTCCATTTTTAAGAGCCTAGAACATTAGTAAAATAAAAATATTAATAAAGAATTTATCACTTGAAAAGTCACTTTGGAGTATATTTGTAAAAAGCATGTAGAAATTGACTATGAGTCCAGAAAAATATGGGTGTCTATTCTACATAACTTTCTGTATGAAATAGAAATTACTGACCTGTAATCCAGTGATAACTTTATTCTAGTAAAATAATTAAAACACCAAATTGTGTTAAAGATACTAGAAAAAAATTTGGCCAAATGTAATAAAGCCAATGATGATGACGATATCACACTAGTAATATTTTTAAGCATCACAGGATCAAATGGACAAAAGGCAAGACTTCTTAAGGATACTCACATTTAGTAACACCCCTATGGGATGTCTTCCACATATAGTATTATGGTACTTCTTCAAGTAATTGCTAAAAGATACAGGGTCTAATTGCTCTATAATACTCATACCCTAAAAAAAGAAAAGAAAGAAAGAAAGAATAAAAAGGACAAAATTTATTAATTAAACCTTAAAATTGTTAATTAGAGCTAAACTAATGTTTCAATTAAAGAGACAAAAAGAAAATATATTAAATAATCCTTGTGAAACATCAAACTCATTCATCAAAGATAATCTGATTATAGTTAACTCTACTGGCAGAAACCTTTTAAACCCTGTGTATTTCCCTATTCTTATATTTCCACATCACCTTCACCAGCTATCATTTATCTCACAAACTTCAAACATTTCAGTTTTCTATTTGCTTTAAAAATTATTCATAAAAGTAAATCTGTGAAAATTTTCACATGAAATCCAAAATTAAATCTCATTTATGGCTCTATTACCCTATATCCATATGTTCTTCCTGCCATTGGCATAAAAAAATCAAGAGTTAATTGTAATTTAATTATTTCTACAACATAAATATCAATAGTGCTTAAGTTATCAGCAATTATCTAGCTAAATGATAAAAAAAAAGAAAACACCAGAAACTAATAGCTAATATATTTTAATAATTTAAAGTTCCTCAAAGACTGATAAAGGTTTATACAACACAGGTCTCTCATGAATAAATTTTTAAAAGGAAAACTCTTCATCTCTTTATAATAGAACACCTTATGTCAAAGACTTTAATTCAGAATACAATTTTCCAAATTACTCTTTTTTTTAATTTGACAGGTAGAGTTATAGACAGTGAGAGAGAGAGAGAAAGAGAAAGACCTTCCTTCCATTGGTTCACTCCCTAAATGGCCGCCACGGCCGGTGCTGCACCAATCCGAAGCCAGGAGCCAGGTGCTTCCTTCTGGTCTCCCATGTGGGTGCAGGGGCCCAAGTACTTGGGCCATCCTCCACTGCCCTCCCAGGCCACATCAGAGAGCTGGACTGGAAGAGCAGCATCTGGGACTAGAACCCTGTGTCCATATGGGATGCCAGCCAGCAGGCGAGGATTAACCTAGTGTGCCACAGCGTCAGCCCCTCCCAATTACTTTTCAAACAATCATTACAACTTGAGCACTTGTTTCCACTAAATTTTTCACTCTCCAAAAACATTCAAATAGTTCATTAATGTACAGTAACTTTAACTTACTGAGTCACACAAATAAATTACTACCTCATCTGTTCACCAACTTTATATTTTCCTATTCAAGTAAAACGATTTACAATTCAATAAATAAAGTAATATCCTCTGGGAGAAATGCAAATGGTGGTTTAACCATGAACTTAACTGGTATAGTCTTTGTGATTTTAAAATTTTATTTCACATGTTTTAACAAAACAGGTGCAATGCAAAAGTGCCAAGAGTGATCAGATAAAAGTCATCTTGGGCTGGCACTGTGGTGCAGCAGGTAAAGCCGCGGCCTGTGACGCCAGCCCTTAAGGGGCAGTGATTCATGTCCAAGCTGCTCCACTTCTTATCCAGCTTCCCGTTAATGCACCTGGGAGAGCAGCAGAGGAGCGTAAACATGCCAGGGCCCATACAGTCATGGGGGAGACCCAGAGGAAGCTCCTGGCTCCTGGCTTCAGCCTGGCCCAGCACTGACTGTTGTGGCTCTCTGGGGAGTGAGCCAGAGGTTAGGAGATCTCTCCCTCTCTGTTAACTCTTTCAAAATAAATAAATCTTAAAAAAAAAAAAAAAAGTCATCTGAAAAGTGGTAGCATGCAAATTTTTCAGTGGCAGCATCAAAACATCAAAACAAATTTGTAAATACTTTTTCAGATTATTCAAGGTCTCATAAACATTATCAATTTACTTATATATCTGAAACAAAGACAATGCATGTATTATCAACTCTAAATTGTATACACTTAGCCACTTGGATTTATCCACTACCAGTTTTTACTGCTAACTTGGTTTTCCCAACAACCAAGGGGTATCCAAAGCAAACACTGTAAGCTGACCCAAACTCAAGAAACAAAAATTAAGAGTTAAAACTCAGGAACAACTCATATCATAATTCCAGTGCAAAGAAAATCACTCAGTGTATCTTCTAGTACAGAAATGGAATCAGCAATCTCTTCAATAAACATGGGCATTCAAGCTTAACTGCCCTAGAGATGAAGAAACTAAGACATAAAAAAGTTAAATTTCTTGGCTCTAAATTTCCAATTTTAGGCTCTCACTGCATATTCTGATTCATTACAGTACAGCAAAAATCACATTAGCAGCGCTTTCAATACACTCATGTAGCTACAATTGGCATATATATTGCAAGATAATCTTTAGTGCTCCTGAATTAGGTCTAGGGCAGCTTACTTTATGCAGAATTCCAACAGTTAATAAACTATATCACTTTGAGGTTCTGATGTACAATTTATTACTAAGATCCCAAAACACATTCAGAAAAAAACATATCACGTATATATACTAGTAGAAATTCAAAGAGAAGAAAACTATCACATTCATAAAAGACAAAAATTTCCAAGTAACTGGCCAAGACACTCTTTTATAGAAAAATATATTTATAAATGCAGAACACAGAACAAAACAAAGAGTTCCAAATGAAGATATGCTGGTTAAATCATATTAGGGAAAATGAGAAACTGAGATGATGAAAAATAATGGGTTATATGGGTTAAAAATTTTAATTCTTTGAAGTGTGTCATGTAGCTACTAAGCAGGAATCAATTCCATTACACTCAAGTCTCTTACAAATGTGATGGTGTAAGAGGTATGGCGGATGGGAGGGGAAATTAAGGCTTTGCTCATGGATAAGTCTCTTCCACAAAATGGAAAATTCATGAAGTCTGCAAATAAACAATGACGACAAAATTGCAAAATGGGACATTCATTAGCTAACACAGAATAACCACCAGCAAATATACTTTATATATTTGTGTGTGTGTATATTTATGTGCTGGTGCTAACAACCCTGAAATTACCATTACCAACATTCCATGAAGATAGAAACGCTAGTTCAATGCTTTCACCAAAACCCCAGGAAGATGAAAAAGAAAGTACTTCTCCAAATTAACTTTTCTATTACTTAAAATACTGGAAAATAAGACCAGTGAGTCTAACATCCTAGCATAGCAAAATTACTAAGGCATACTACAGGTGACAATTCGATCTGTTCAGATAAACATAACCTAACAGGGAGCAGTGAAATGGGTCAATCTTCTTACACTCTGAGATACAAAGCAGACATAAACATCAACAACTTCTGTCAAGAACATGGGTTTCTGAGGAATTCAGCAAGAAATCCACAGAATGAAGGTTAACCCGCAATGTGGAAGTGGGAGGTGGAATCATCACGGCATTGACACTCCCTGTAATGGATGAGAGAGCGACACCAAATCCCAAATGGTAAGCTGAAACAGGCAGTGCTAACTGATGCAGGTGCAAATTTAGGATTCTGATAAGGAAACAAATATACTCCCTTTTTTAAAAAAATAGTTTATCTGGGGCCTGCACTGTGGCTTAATGGGTGAAGTCACTGCCTGCAGTGCGACATCCCATATGGGTGCCAGTTTGAGTCCCGGCTGCTCCTCTTCTGATCTAGCTCTCTGCTGTGGTCTGAGAAAGCAGTAGAAGATGGCCCAAGTCCTCGGGCCCCTGCACCCATGTGGGAGACCTGGAAGAAGCTCCTGGCTCCTGGCTTCAGATCAACACACCTGATCTTGCGGCCAATTGGGGAATAAACCAGCAGATGGAGAACCTCCCTCTCCCTCTCTGTCTCTCCCCCCAACCCCTGCCTCTCCTTCTCTCTCTGTGTAACTCTTTCAAATAAATAAATAAATCTTTAAAAAAAAAATCTACATGTAATAAAAGTTATTCTAAAATTATCAACCAGAAGTAACTCTTCCTAAAGTAACAAAGTAGTGGCAAAACTTTCTAGAAGCATTTAAGAAACAGCTATGATTTCAATTATGAGTACATAACTAATCACCATATTATGAAATCATTCATATCATAAAGTAAAAGCATACATTTGTACTGGAGGATGGGCACACATTTTAGGGAGGATAGATGGGAAGAGGAAATGTTCTAGTTTCTTTAGGAGGCACAAAATAAAAAATCTTAACAGTGCAATCAATTTAATGAGAAAAAATTCAGGTTAAAGATAGACGTGCTAAGAAGCAATGTTTTAATAAATGGCTATCTTGGGCTGGCACTGTGGCGCAGTGGGTTAACATCCTGGCCTGAAGTGCCAGCATCCCATATGGGCGCCAGTTCATGTCCTGGCTGCTCCTTTTCCAATCCAGCTCTCTGCTATGGCCTGGGAAAGCAGTAGAATATGGCCCAAGTTCTTGGGCCCCTGCACCCACGTGGGAGACCCAGAAGAAGCTCCTGGCTTCAGACTGGCGCAGTTCTGGCTGTTGCTGCCAATTAAGGGGTGAACTAGCAGATGGAAGACCTCTCTCTCTCTCTCTCTCTCTCTCTCTCTCTCCTCTCTGTGTAACTCTTTCAAATAAATAATTTTTAAAAAAAATAAAATAAAATAAATGGCTATCTTACAGATAACATTATAAAACTGTTAAGAAGTTATTGACCTAAATTGAAGAGAAAGATACATAAGTTGACAAATAAGAAAAATTTTCATTCAAAACAATAGTAAAAAAAAAAGTTGATATTCAAATTTTATGAAATGACTAATAAGTGGGGAAGCAAAAGGAGTTATAATGAATGGATGACTATATTAACATTTCCAGATATCCCCAGCAAAATTAAAAATAATTTGCCAATGTTCACAATGAAAATGGTCAATGCTAAATAACAGTGTAATAAAAATGACAGTAGATGATCATTGTGTGTTTAAGTGTGGCTAATTATTTCAAGTAAGTAATCCAGAGTTCACAAAGTATATTTTGCTTTAGTCCCTGCAACTACTGAAACTGCAAAGTGCAAATTACCAAAAACAAAAGGTCAATAGCCAACAGAACTACAAGACAACTTTCAAACTCCACATTTTCTACATTATAGGTACTTACTTATTCCCAATTCCAACATCTGCAAACTACAGTTTGTGTTC